CGCCCAGGCTGGAGTGCAGTGGCTCAATCTCGGCTCATTGCAAGCTCCGCCTCCCGGGTTCATGCCATTCTCCTGCCTCAGCCTCCCGAGTAGCTGGGTCTACAGGCACCTGCCACCACACCCGGTTAATTTTTTGTATTTTTAGTAGAGACGGGGTTTCACCGGGTTAGCCAGGATGGTCTCCATCTCCTCGTGATCTGCCCATCTCGGCCTCCCAAAGTGCTGGGATTACAGGCGTGAGCCACCGCGCCCTGCCTAAACAGTTCCTTTTGAAAGGAATAAGCTCGATGTCTTGGAATAATTGCTCAGGGTCTCAGACAACTTCTCTCCCTAAGATGACATCTAGACATCCATGTTCACAGTGGCATTATTCACAATAGCCAAAAGGTGGAAAGAATCCAAGTATTCACTGACAGATGAATGGATGAGCAAAATATTATACAGCAAAATACATTATCCAGCTATAAAAATGAAATTCCAGGCCAGGCACGGTGGCTCACGTCTGTAATCGCAGAACTTTGGGAGGCCGAGCCAGGTGGATCACCTGAGGTCAGGAGTTCGAGACCAGCCTGACCAACAGGGAGAGGCCCTGTCTCTACTAAAAATACAAAATTAGCCAGGCGTGGTGGCGCATGCCTGTAATCCCAGCTACTTCGGAGGCTGAGGCAGGAGAATTGCTTGAACCCTGGAGGCAGAGGTTGCGGTGAGCCGAGATTGTACCACTGCACTCTAGCCTGGGCAACAAGAGCAAAACTCTATCTCAAAAAAAAAAAAGGTAAAGGAAAAAAAAAGAAATTCCTTTACATACTACAACATGAATGGATCTTGGAAACATTATGCTAAGTAAAAAAAAAAAAAAAAAAAAAAAAAAAAAACCCCAAGAGGACAAATATTGTATGATTCCACTCATATGAGATATCCAAGATAGGCAAATTCATTGAGACAGAAAGTAGACTGGAACCAGGAGCTGAGTGGGGTGCGGTGGGTAGTACCGTTTAATGACTGCAGAGTTGTTGCTTGGTTGATGAAAAAGTTATATTTCTGGAAACAGACAGTGGTGACGGTTAAGCAACACTGTCTTGGTCTTTTTCGTTGTTGTTGTTTTTGAGACGGACTCTCGCTCTGTCTCCCAGGCCGGAGTGCAGTGGCACAATCTTGGCTCACTGCAACCTCTGCCTCCCAGGTTCCAGCAATTTTCCTGCCTCAGCCTCCCAAGTAGCTGGGACTACAGGCACATGCCACCACGCCCAGCTAATTTTTGTATTTTCACTAGAGATGGGTTTCACCATGTTGGCCAGGTTGGTCTCAAACTCCTGACCTTGGGTGATCCACCTGCCTTGGCCTCCCAAAGTGCTGGGATTATAGGCGTGAGCACCCCGCCCGGCCACAACACTGTCAATGTACTTACACTGCAGTGTACACTTAGAAATGATCAATGTTAGCTGGGTGCAGTGGTGCATGCCTGTAAGTCCCAGCTACTTGGGAGGCTGAGGCAGGATCATCTGAGTGTCCAAGAGTTCAAAACCAGCCTGGGGAACATAGTAAGACCCTGTCTCAAAAAAAAAAAAAAAAAAAAAAGATAGGCCTGGCACAGTGGCTCACACCTATAATGATTGTAAACAATCCTCCCACTTTGGGAGGCAGAGGTGGGCAGATTACCTGAGGTCAGGAGTTAAGAGACCAGCCTGGTCAACATGGTGAAACCCCATCTCTACTAAAAATACAAAAAAATTTAGCTGGGCGTTGTGGCACATGCCTGTAATCCCAGCTACTCGGGAGGCAGAGGCAGGATAATTGCTTGAACCTCGGAGGCAGAGGTTGCAGTGAGCCATTGCACTCCAGCCTGGGTGACAGAGCATGCACACAAAAAATTTTACCAATTTTAAGTTATGTATATTTTACTATACATATACAAAATAGACGGTACGTGGGGCTGAAGTGGAGGGGTGGCTTCCATGGCGTTACGGCGTTGAGGAAGGTGGCATCCCTCAGACTATGTCCTTTCCTCTGTCTCTTCCATCTCTTGACCACATCCTTTGTCTGTCAGTTTTTGCCTGAGGACTGCAGCTGCTGCGTTCTTCCCTCTGGCAGCCTCGTCAGCACCAGTGGTGCCCTTCCTCACCTCACCTCTGTGCTCCCTGGGCTTAGGGTTCCCTTTGATCACTCACTACCAAACCACCGTCTCCCCACTACCACAGAGCTTCATCTGGGATTAGAGCTACGGGGGGAGCACTTGGCAAAACTCAGCCCACAGGGCCTTCCCCTGCCTAGCAAGACTGTGCTGTCAAATTTATTCACATGTGGCTCTGGTGAAGACGAGCATGCCATCAGCCTATGAGGGCACTGTTATGTTATTATGCCCATTTTACAGATGAAGAAACCGAGAAGTCAAACCATTAAGCTGAACTCAGTTTGCTTTGACCACAAATCCAGCCCACATAGGCGCAATGATGGATGTGATGAGTAAGGCTGGGATTTTGTTCTGTATTTGGGAGTTTTGTTTGCTTGCTTGTTTGAGATGGAGTCTCACTCTGTCACCCACGCTGGAGTACAGTGGCGTGATCTTGGCTCACTGCAACCTCCGCCTCCTGGGTTCAACTGATTCTCCTGCCTCAGCCTCCCATATACTCAGGAGTTTGACCTTTATTCTTTGGATAATGAGGAGCTAGCCTAGCACCTGGTCCTAGGAGGTGTTCCATAAAATGACCTATTGATTTGTGCTTATTGTCTGTCTCCCTCCAATGGAATGTAAAGGAGGTGGGGGCACAGACTTTTTGTTTTGTTCCCTGCTGTGAACATGCCTGGAACCTTCTATGAGCTCAGTAAGCAAGGAAAGAAGGAAGGAAGAGATCTTGAGATAGTAACAGCAACCTAAGCATTTTACACACATCATCTTAATCTCCAAACAACCTCATGAATTTGCTGTCTCTCTCTCTCTCTCTCTCTCTCTCATTTTTTGAGACAGAGTCTCACTGTGTCATCCAGGCTGGAGTGCAGTGGCGTGATCTTGGCTCACTGCAACCTCTGCCTCCCAGATTCAAGCAATTCTCATGCCTTAGCCTCCCGAGTAGCTGGGATTACAAGTGCACGCCACCACACCTGGCTAATCTTCGTATTTTTAGTAGAGGCAAGATTTTGTCATATTGGCCAGGTTGGTCTTGAACTCCTGGCCTCAAGTAATCGACCCACATCAGTCTCCCAAAGTGCTGAGATCACAGGCATAAGCTACTGTGCGGCCCCCCCTTTCTTCTTTTTTTTTTTTGAGATAGAGTCTTATTTTGTCACCCAGGTTCGAGGGCAGTGGTACAATGTCAGCTCACTGCAGCCTCCACCTCCTGGGTTTAAGTGATTCTCCTGCCTCAGTCTCCTGAGTAGCTGGGACTACAGGCACATGCCACCACATCTGGCTAATTTTTGTATTTTTAATATAGACAGCGTTTTGCCGTGTTCGCCAGGCTAATCTTGAACTCCTGACCTCAGGTGATCTGCCCGCCTCAGTCTCCCAAAGTACTGGATTACAGGCGTGAGCTACTACGCCGGCGTGCGGCGTGCAATGGTGTGCTTGACGCTCACTGCACTGCATCCTCCACCTCCCTGGAGTCAAGTGATTCTCTCACTTCAGCCTCACAAGTAGCTGGGACTATGGACATGTGCCACCATGCCCGGCTAATTTTTTAATTTTTAAATATTTTTTATTTTATTTTTTTTGAGACAGTCTTGCTTTGTCACCTAGGCTAGAGTGCAATGGTGTGATCTCGGCTTACTGCAACCTCCGCCTTCTGGGTTCAAGTGATTGTCCCTGCCTCAGCCTCCCAAGTAGCAGGGATTACAGACGCCTGCCACCACACCCGGCTAATTTTTGTTTTTTTTAGTAGAGACAGGATTTCGCCATATTGGCCAGGATGGTCTCGAACTCCTGACCTCAGGTGATCTGCCCACCTCAGCCTCCCAAAGCGCTGGGATTACAGGTATGAGCCACTGCGCCCAGCCTTATTTTTATTTTTTATTTATTTTATTTTTAATTTTATTTATTTATTTTTGAGACGGAGTTTCGCTCTTGTTGCCCAGGCTGGAGTGCAATGGCGCGATCTTGGCTCACTGCAACCTCCACCCCTCGGGTTCAAGCAATTCTTCTGTCTCAGTCTCCTGAGTAGCTGGGATTACAGGTGCTCGCCACTACACCAGACTAATTTTTGGTATTTTTTAAGTAGAGATAGGGTTTCACCATGTTGGCCAGGCTAGTCTCGAACTCCTGACCTCAGGTGGTACACCTGCCTCGGCCTCCCAAAGTGCTGGAATTACAGACGTGAGCCACCAAGCGTGGCTATTTTTATTTTTTGAGACAGAGCTTCACTTCTGTTGTCCAGGCTGGAGTACAATGGCACGGTCTCAGCTCACAGCAACCTCTGCCTCCCAGTTTCAAGTGATTCTCCTATCTCAGCCTCCCGAGTAGCTGGGATTACAGGTGAGCACCACCACACCCAGCTCATCTTGGTACTGTAGAGATGGGGGTTTCACCATATTGGACAGGTTGGTCTCAAACTCCTGACCTCAGGTGATCCACCCGCCTCGGCCTCTCAAAGTGCTGGGATTACAGGTGTGAGCCACTGCACCTGGCCCTGTATTTTTTTGTAGAGATGGGGTTTTGCCATGTTGCCCAGGCTGGTCCCCAACCCCTAGGTTCAAGCGATTGATCTGCCTTGGCCTCCCAAAGTGCCAGGATTACAGGTGTAGGCCACTGCACCCAGCCCAGATTAATTTTTCTGAAGTCACACAACTAGGTAAGTTAGCAAAACCAAGAGTTAAACCTAGGCATCCGAGTCCCTGCCTTCAAGCCTGGGCGTTCAACACTGTACTATAGAGTCCTGCTGTAGGAACCTATTCTGGCCCAACGGCAGACTTGAGGCTGAGAAAAGATTCAGAAGGCCTGCCAGTGTAGCTAAACATTTGTGTGTGCAGCCCTGTCTCTCTGTAACTTCTGGCTTGCCTTCCTATTTCAGGTCTCTGCTGCTGACGAAGCTGTGACCAAACACACCCAACCCTTGGCAGCCATCTGTCCCTGCAGCCATAGCCCACATTCCCATACCCTCCCTCTGCTTGTTTCGGGACCATGTCTGCACAGCCTCCAGGCCCCAGCCCCGGAGGTGAAGGCCATGCCATGACTCTGGTGTGCCCCATGGCATCCCCAGCCTAGCTCCCATTCCCGCTTTGGCACAATGTTGGCCAACAGCTCCTCAACCAACAGTTCTGTTCTCCCGTGTCCTGACTACCGACCTACCCACCGCCTGCACTTGGTGGTCTACAGCTTGGTGCTGGCTGCCGGGCTCCCCCTCAACGCGCTGGCCCTCTGGGTCTTTCTGCGCGCGCTGCGCGTGCACTCGGTGGTGAGCGTGTACATGTGTAACCTAGCGGCCAGCGACCTGCTCTTCTCCCTCTCGCTGCCCCTTCGTCTCTCCTACTACGCACTGCACCACTGGCCCTTCCCCGACCTCCTGTGCCAGACGGCGGGCGCCATCTTCCAGATGAACATGTACGGCAGCTGCATCTTCCTGATGCTCATCAACGTGGACCGCTACGCTGCCATCGTGCACCCACTGCGACTGCGCCACCTGCGACGGCCCCGCGTGGCGCGGCTGCTCTGCTTGGGCGTGTGGGCGTTCATCCTGGTGTTTGCCGTGCCCGCCGCCCGCGTGCACAGGCCCTCGCGCTGCCGCTACCGGGACCTCGAGGTGCGCCTATGCTTCGAGAGTTTCAGCGACGAGCTGTGGAAGGGCAGGCTGCTGCCCCTCGTGCTGCTGGCCGAGGCTCTGGGCTTCTTGCTGCCCCTGGCGGCGGTGGTCTACTCGTCCGGCCGAGTCTTCTGGACGCTGGGGCGCCCCGACGCCACGCGGAGCCAGCGGCGGCTGAAGACGGTGCGCCTCCTGCTGGCCAACCTCGTCATCTTCCTGCTGTGCTTCGTACCCTACAACGCCACGCTGGCGGTCTACGGGCTGCAGCGAAGCAAGCTGGTGGCGGCCAGCGTGCCTGCCCGCGATCGCGTGCGCGGGGTACTGATGGTGATGGTGCTGCTGGCCGGCGCCAACTGCGTGCTGGACCCGCTAGTGTACTACTTCAGCGCCGAGGGCTTCCGCAACACCCTGCGCGGCCTGGGCACTCCGCACCGGGTCAGGACCTTGGCCACCAACGGGACGCAGGCGGCGCTCGCGCAATCCGAAAGGTCCACCGTCACCACGGACGCCACCAGGCCGGATGCCGCCAGTCAGGGGCTGCTCCGACCCTCCAACTCCCACCCTCTGTCTTCCTTCACACAGAGTCCCCAGGATTCCGCCCTCTGAACGCGCACCATGCCACAGCGCCGTCCGTGCCCGACTCCCAACGCCTCTCGTTCTGGGAGGCTTGCAGGGTGTGCACACAAGAAGGTGGGCTGGGCACTTGGGTCTTTGGGTGGCAACTCCAGCTTAGCAACGCAGAAGAGTACAAAGTGTGGAAGCCGGGGGCCCGAGGAAGGCATTGCTGCTGGAAATGGCTTCTTTAAACTGTGAGCACGCAGAGGACCCCGTCTCCAGTGGTGGGAAGTGATGCAGAGAGCCCACCGGTGCAGAGCGCAGAAGGGGACGAAATGCCTTTGGGTGGGCGGGGCATTAAACTGCTAAAAGCTGGTTAGATGGAACAGAAAATGAGCATTCTGGATTTAAACCGCCACAGGGGCCTGAGAGCTGAAGAGCCCCAGGTTTGGTGGACCATGCTACTGAGATGCCTGTTCATCTGCTGACTTCTGTCATGGATGCCACCCGCTTTCATTTCGGCCTAGGCTTCCCCTGCTCACCATTGAGGCCTAATGCAAGAGTTCCATATAGACAGAACTAGGTTCTTTCTCGCACAGTGACTTGCGACAATTTAGACCTGGCACCCAGCATGGGACAGTTGGGGCAAGGCAAAACTGGCTTAGAGTTTCCTCCTCTCCAAAATCCAAGTCCAAACCCTATTTAGGTTATCCTTTCTTCCATCACTCCCCCTTTTCCAGGCCTCCTCCGTTTTAGATCCTTAATATTCTCTCTCTCTCTCTGCTTTGTCCAGAGTAAGGAGAAAATTCTTTCTACTAAAGCATTGGTTCTCAAGCTTTTTGGTCTCAGATGCCACTCTTGGAAACTGGGGATCTCAAACAGCTTTGCTTATCTTTTGATACTTACCATACTAGAAATTAAAGCAAATACATTTTTAAAATAAATACACATGCACACATTCTGTTAGCCACGAGAGCAATAATGTCACCACACACACTTCATGAAACCTCTGGAAAACTCTACAGTATACTTATGAGAGAATGAGAGTGAAAGGGACAAATAATATCTGTGTAGCAGTATTATGAAAATAGTTTGACCTCGTGGACTCCCTCAAAGGGTTGGTCCCTGGATCACACTTTGAGAACCACACTTGTCCTGAAGTATTACAGTTCATGTCTAACTTCTTCCCAGGGCATTATGTACAGTGCTTTCTATTATTGTGGGGAGAGGGCAGCGCTAAATAAATTAATCAATTCTGATAGTCTTCATGTCTTGGGGTTTTCCTGCGGCCCTAGGAGTAGTACATACAATGGAACACTACCCTGGGCATATCAGAGCAGCAGCCCTGGGGCAGGGATGGAGACTGGGGTGGAACTAGTCATATGCTCAGGGGGAGGGGATGGGGCTTCTCTGGGGGAGGAAAAAGGGAACTAAGGGAACTGTGCCATAGCCAGGAGAGAAGAGTTTATGGGGAAGTTAAGAGTGAGATGGAAGGACGGGAATAGGCTGTCCATTCTCAGCACGCTGGAAGCAAGGGAAAAGGGCCATCTACTATTCCTTCCTTTTTTTTTTTTTTTTTTTTTTTTTTTTTTTGAGATGGAGTCTAACACTGTGGCCTGGGCTGGAGTGCAATGGCGTGATCTCGGTTCACTGCAACCTTCGCCTCCCGGGTTCATGCAATTCTCCTGCCTCAGCCTCCCAAGTAACTGGGATTACAGGTGCACACCACCAAACCCGGCTAATTTTTTGTATTTTTAGTAGTGATGGGGTTTCACTATGTTGGCCAGACTGGTCTTGAGCTCCCGACCTCAGGTGAATCTGCCCGCCTCCCAAAGTGCTGGGATTACAGGCATGAACCACCGCGCCCGGCTATTCTTTCCCTCTTTACCCAAGTTGGGGGCTCGGAGGGGCTGCAGAGTTGGCACTTGTGGACATCTTCAGACCCTGACATTACTGAGGGAGTTGTTCCTCTGTGTGCATCCTACAGCATTTCTGACCCTATGTCTCAATACTGTATCTTTATATGTGTGTGCGTGCACTGTGTGTGTGAGAGAGAGCGAGAGAGAGAGAGTGTGTGTGTGTGTCAGGGTTCTCCATTTGTGTCTGTGTGTTTTAGTCCAGGGTAGCCTTTTGTGTGTGCCTTTATGCCAAGTGCTCCAGACGGTGATTTACAGGGGTAAAATGACCCCTGGTGGCCAAATGAGAGAACTGACCCAGATTCGTCAGGGATAGCCATGAAATCTGGGCCTTTCTCCATCTGGATGGAGACTGGAGTCTGGAGCCTGGCACTTACCTCCAGCCACTCTGGAAGAGGCCTAGTGATTAGCACCTGCTTCATCTCTCTTCATCTTCAGGGTTCAAGACCTGTGCCCTTCCTGTCCTGAGAGCACCGGCAGCACAAAACCTCGTAGTCCAAAATCTTAGCACTTTGCCCTATTCAAACAGAATCAAACACAATTTTTAAAGATTACTTGAGTACTTTTATAGGCAGGTATGTGAGTTCCAAAGTAATTACAACTCACGGCAGGTATCACTTTCCAACATACCATATAATTTATTTATTCTAATTTTTATAGTTTATCATCTCCGCCACCCCGTCCTATAGCCTAGGTAGAATGTAAGTTCCGTGGGGGTGTGGATTTTTCTTCGATTCTCTGATGATCCCCAGCATCTAAAACAGTGCCTGGCACAGAGAAAGTGCTCAATAAATATTTGTTGAATGAATGAACAGTCAGATCTTGCTGTGAAGTAGTTTACAATCTAGTGGGAACCATAGAACAAGTAAACGAAAACTATAATGCCAGGCAGAAAACACAAGAATGCAGTGTAAGGTATTGGCAGTTGGTTTAGTGGGCAATGGGAGACCCACGGAGGCTCCTGAGTGAGGCTTTGCTCACACTGACAAACTGTGTGGAATAAGCTGGAGGAAAATGATTGGTGGGGAGAGTCTAAGGAAAAGACAGACTTGTCAGGGAGCCATTACAACAGCCGAGGGCGGCCAGGTGCGGTGGCTCATGCCTGTAATCCCAGCACTTTGGGAGGCCAAGGCGGGCGGATCACCTGAGGTCGGGAGTTCAAGACCAGCCTGACCAACATGGAGAAACCCCGTCTCTACTAAAAATACAAAATTAGTCGGGCATGGTGGCACATGCCTGTAATCCCAGCTACTAGGGAGGCTGAGGCAGGAGAATAGCCTGGAACCTGGGAGGCGGAGGTTGCAGTGAGCCGAGATTGTGCCATTGCACTCCAGCCTCGGCAACAAGAGCAAAACTCCGTCTGAAAAAAAAAAAAAAAAAAAAAAAAAAGCTGAGGACAAGTGTGACCATGGCCTGTGGAAGAGCTAGACGGCAATACGTTGTCTCTGATGTGAAATCTCTGGTGTCAAAGCCCTGGTGGACTATTTTCCCCCATTCAGATATCCAAAGGCTTTCCATCAAGAGAAGAGAGAGGCAAGAATAGATTAGGCTATTTTCATAGGGTTCCCAAGACTAAGAGAGCAGTATGAAGTCCAGAACCCTCACCCCCTGTCCTGGAGCTGCTCCATTTAAGGTCTAGGAAAATCCAAAGACAGAGAAGGGGAAAATCTTAGATGGAAGGGAATGAGCATTAGCAATTTTTGTTGTTGTTGTTGTTGTTGTTGTTTTTGAAATGGAGTTTCACTCTTGTTGCCCAGACTGGAGTGCAGTGGCATGGTCTTGGTTCACTGCAACCTCCGCCTCCCAGGTTCCAGCTATTCTCGTGCCTCAGCCTCCCAAGTGGCTGGGATTACAAGCGCCTGCCACCGTGCCTGGCTAATTTTTGTATTTTTAGTAGAGACAGGGTTTCACCATGTTGACCAGGCTGGTCTTGAACTCCTGATCTCAGGTGATCCGCCCACCTTGGTCTCCCGAAGTGCTGGGATTACAGGCGTGAGCCACTGCGCCCGGACTTTTAGCAGGTTTAAAAAATACTCTTCTGTATGCCAAGATTTCAAGTTAGTGTTTAAGATGCATTATCTTCTTTATTATATTAAATAATATAGTCTGAGTTAGAGACGATGTTCATCCCTTTTACAGAAGAAACACACTGGAGAATCTGAGGTCTTAAGGTCACACAACTAGGAAGTGGCTGGATCTGTATCTGGCTCCCAAACTCCTGCTTTTTGCAGTACACCTCTCCTTCCTGGGACTTTCTTTCCTGTTACAGATCACCCGGGTTTCCTTCCTTCTCCTCCCTTCCTCATATAGCCACCTCTTTCAACTGCCTGGCTTGCCTTGAATCTGCTGCATCATCTTGGCCTTCCTCTTCCCAGTTCTTCCTCCATGCTCCTAATCCACTTGCCCTACAGCACACCCACCCCTTCACTCTCTGTTTGTCTCAGCTCCCTGTTTATTGAACACCACGTGGCTGCAGGGGTTGGGGGGTTGAGAGCTGGCTCACTCAAGGTTCCAATTGTGTTGGACCCTAAAATACACCCCATCGAGGGCCCACACACAAGCAAGATGCCTTAAGACTTCATGCAGTTGGCCATGACTCCCCTCCCCCAGCTTGTGATGTACCCTACATCTCCAAGGCAGCACTCCTGATTGTCTACACTGAGCAGGGACCATTCTTTGGTTCGCCCGTCCTCAAAGTCTGTCTCCTCTGTAGGATGGTCCCTCCACATGGTGAGAGTAGCTGGGAAGAGTAACAACCATTAATTTTATTTTATTTTATTTTTTGAGACAAGGTCTTGCTCTGTCATCCATGCTGGAGTGCACTGGTGCTCTCTCGGCTCATTGCAACCTCCACCTCCCAAGTTCAAGTGATTCTCCTGCCTTAGCCTCCTGAGTAGCTGGGATTACAGGCATGTGCCACCATGCCCAGCTAATTTTCATACTTTTAGTAGAGACGGGGTTTCACCATGTTGGCCAGGCTGGTTTTGAACTCCTGGCCTCATGTGATCCTCCTGCCTCTCCCTCCTAAAGTGCTGGGATTACAGGTGTGAGCTACCACACCCAGCCACAATCATTAATATTAAAAGAAATTTAGGAGCGCCAGGTCAGAGGTAAGGGATACCAAAGGACAGCAGAGATTTTTCCTTCTTGGTCCTCAACCATCTTAAAGATGGAATTCCCTCGAGGCTGCCATCTGGGGTCCCATGGAAGAAATGGGGAAGGGAAGGTTAATCTCACACAGGAAGGCCCTGGACAAGCTGGGGTAATTCTCACCATGTCCTTGCCGGAGGAGCATGGAAAGTACTGGAAGGTGAATTTTCTCACTCAGGGTTTGGGGAATCCCAAAGGCTCCAGAACTTTGGAATCAAACAAATCTGGGCATGAATTTCAACTCTCTCACTTCTTGGCAATGTGGCTTCAACAAATTTCTTGACCTCTCTGAGCCTCTATTTTCTCCCATTTCTCTGTGAAATGGGGCTCATCATATCCACTTACTCGGCTATTGTGAGGGTCAAGGAGCCCATCTTTGAAAGGTACTCTAGAGGCCCCATAAGTGGGAACGCCTTCTTTCCAACATGAGCATGGGGAGGCAAGGCCATTGATAAACTCTGCCAGTAATGCCCAACGCGAGTGTTTCAGGAAGACGTGAAGGGCTCCAGATGAATCCTCACCCAGACAGAGCTCTGCCAGCCATCAGAACTAGGACCACGGGAGGTGGTGAACAAGGCAGGCTGGGCAGGTTTCCACGGTGCTAGGTCAAGCAGGCAGTCTTTAGGGGCAGCGACTGGCCTGTTGCCCTCTGGGGGCACTCTCTCCCCACTAGGCCCATGTCCATCCCATAGACCAAGGAGGAGGTGGAAAAGTGCAAGACAGGGGGAAGCTGACTGGAGAACCAAGCAATGGAGAAAGGGCAAGGGAGGAGGCTGGAGGGGAAGCGAGGGCCCAGGCAGGCACGGGGTGGGGCTGGGAGAGGGGCCCAGGGCAGGAGGGCGGGAGAAAGCCTGGGAGGGAAAGCGCGACCAGGGAGGGAGGAGGGACAGGGAAGGAGGCCGGCGGCGCTGACACAGCCTCGATGTGTGGAACGGGCTGGGGTTTGGCCCACAGGTCAGGCGTCTGGCAGTATTATGGGATGGAGAGGCCTTAGGAGACAGGGAGAGTATTATGGGCTGGAACAGCCTTAGGAGACTGGGGAATATTATGGGCTGGTGAGGCCCGGCTCCAACTGGAGGCGGGAGGAAGGGGTGCGGGGCGGGAACGGGGGGGGGGGGGGGGGTGGAAGGGAGTATTATGGGCTGGAGGCCTCCTGCGACCAGAGGCAAGAGTATTATGGGCTGGCAAGGCCTTCGGT